CAGATTGATTAATCTTCAACGTACTGCAACCTGCATCTTCTAATGTCGTCCAAGACGCGCGCTAACCCGCGTTGATCCTTGACGCCCATAATCTCGATCATGCGGTCCCCAGGAGTAACCCCCAGGTCCCAAAGCTTCAAACGGATATTCGCATACGCAGGACAATCTAGCAGCACATGACATTCATCTTCAACAGCTTGCCGGTTCCCACAGACCCGGCACCACCGGGCAGACCGTTCTCTACCGTGCGGTCGATTAACCGCCAAAGGCCAAACACACATCCTGAAGCGCATCAGCGTGACGTGCTGTTTTGGCGAGATATAGCCGCTGCCATGCTTGGGCAAACCCATCCAATGCTTATAGCGGCACATCTTTACCCCTGGTTGCCTATTATCTGAAACAAACAAAGCTGGATCCACTGTCAACCGCTCACTTTCCCAGTCATCATCAAATCGGTTCCGAAGTTCACAGATCAACTGGCCTACATCTAGTGAACATGTCGCCAGAGCATCAACTTTGACCTCAATGTCGCCTGAGTCGTCCACACCCGTCCGCACGTTATCTTCAGGACTTTCGCTCCCCATCCATCATACGTCATGCCAGATGATAATGCCAACCGCAGTTCCTCCCGAAAGCAATGGTGGTACACAGAACCTTTTGCCTCAACCAACCTGTTCCAAAAACGAAAAATCAGGTTTGCCCAATGCACTTGCAAAGGGTATTGACCCAACTCTCTGAATAGTAGCCGATTTGTTGGCAAGCCAGCACCACTCAACTGCTTCAGGAAGTTCTTCTGCAGTTCCACCATCCTGTCTTGCAGTGCAATCTCAAAATAACACGATCGTTCCTGGCTGTTAGGGTAACCGCGCTCCAGGATGTCCAGAACCCTTAACGGGCCCCAAACCTGTACCCCGTACGACAGAATAGACAGAACCTGGGCATCAAACGCTTTCACCGNAACAGCTGGGACAAAAAGCCCTTGTCGCTTAAGCTTATTAACCAGCGAGAAGAGCGCCTTCTGGCCTGATGTAAACAACTCATCTGTGCACGATTC